ACAGGGAGGGTGAGATCAAGTCCACAATGGTCAGGTATTAGGTAATGACCCTACTAATCTTTAAATAGCACCGCAACGGTTGGTGGTCAGGTCAGAGGGTAAGGTGACCCAACCTTCTCACCTGGTTACAATTATCTAGTAGTTTAGCGTTAGGGGTAGGTGGAAGACTCCCCCCTCCCTTTCCCCGGCCACAAAACATCTGATAAGATCCTACAGACTTGTGAGCCTAGGAGCTAATCAGTACATATAACACAAACAAAGGGAGAGAGAAACACACACATCCTATTGCTAATACGTAATACATAAAAACCTCGTAATTCATTATAAAAAAGTTCCCCTCGTTACTTATAATATTTAATGTAGCAGAAATATACATGACTAATCTGTCAGAAAAAAAAGAAGACAGAGACCATTACTATAAGGTAGAGTACTGTACCTGTAAAAGAATAAATAATAATAAAATAGTTGTAATTACTACAACGGCCTTCATAACAGGTCAACTCTCGCCTCACCATTAAAAAAAATATTTGTTCTTTTGCAAGAACTGTAATATACTGTATGTTGTCCACTGGTACATGGAGGAAACTTCTCTTTGTCCGCAAATATAGTTGAACTTGCTATAAGATGTCTCAACCTCAGCTTACATTAAGAACATTCTTGACGGGAACAATAAATTATAAGGTAACCACAGCAAGAAATTCTCCTAAATCTTTGTACGCTAAAATTCCACCAAATCAATGACGTGAATAAGTATTTAATGGGTTCGCCTAAGACTGACATACTATATGAAGGTCGACATGGCGAAGAAAATATTGTACCGTAACTCTGTGTTCTCTAGTCCCCAACATAATCTCGGTATCTGGGTCGAGATAAGGAATTAACTATCACTTCTACCGCGACAAGCGGGTGCGTATGTGTGAATGTGTATGCATATGTGCATGTATGTGTATGTACTGTACGTATGTTTGTGTGTGCGTATGTTTGTGCGTATGTGTATATGTGATTCATCTCACACATTGTTCGTAGACATTATCAAAACCTAAAAATAAATTTTTATGAATAAATCTCGTGCCGCCCTGCCTGACTTCTTGTAGTGGATACAGGCGGAGGTGAAGTTTACTTAGTGTGGAGTGGAGTGATTGACCGCTGTGTGAAAGCATTAAGCAAGCCTAGATCGCCTCACGCTGAGGCTCTTAACCACGACCAGCAATTAAAACAACGAATCAGGTGTAAACAACAGGTAACACATAATGGAAAGAGTAGGCAGGGGCAGATAAAGGGGGGGGGGTCCTGGGGTTCGGGCACCTCCTTTTCATCAGAAAATTCCAATACTTTTCTTTAGTGCAGTATTGTACCCTGGCGTTTCTGTTTAGTAAAACGTAATCATTATTGACCTCATAATATCTAATATCAAGTGCACTTGGCTTCAAAGTGGCCGTGATATTGGTCGGATTTTATTTTTTTTCGGGGAGGAAGGGGGTGGGGGGGGGCTTACAGCACCCCTAAAGCCATCCCAGCTGAGTGGACTCACTGTGCTCACCACGTTCTCTCACCCACAACTTCTTGGACCCCTCTTTTAATATTCCTGGATCCGTAAGGAACATTCGAACTGGGTAGACAGTGAGCAGGAGGTAGACGTTAGGGAATGGTTAAATAATAAACAAAATGGTAGGAGGGGACAGCGGACAGTGAATGTTTTGAGGGACATGACGAGAGAATAACACTAGATGAAGGATGGAGGGGGAGATGAGGGTCGCTAATGATGCAACAGTTGTGTCCTCCACGCCTGCCTCACCTTCAACTTCCGCCGACCATCTCACTTTCAACGACTGTTTTCTCTTATATTTATTTATATATACAAATACTAATATTACAGTTATTATAATTGTTTGTCCGTAAGGTGTACGAGCGGGAGAAGAAGCGTGGTATAGGGCATGAAAAGTGTGTGGGAACCCGAGCGTGGAGGCTGGGAGAGCTGTGAAGACTGGCAGTCGGGCGACATCCTGAGCCCCCACCGTTCCATCCTCAGCGCGGGTTTATATGGCCGGCCAGAGAGTGAAAGTTATTAGTGAGTGAGAGAGTGCCAGGCAACGTGCACCCACCCTCTTTATACACCTACAACAGGTCCTCCCTTAGCAGCAGACTAGTGCCCAACGCATCCAACGTTATCGCCACCTGCACCATGTACCTTCCACGCCTCACATTACTCTGCGGGTTGATCCTCCTGGTTCACTTTTGCAGCCACTCTCAGGTAAATATTAAGTCATGAACACCCAACAATAAACTCAACGTTAATACATTTACTATGTTCATGGATATTATTGACGTAGAGCAACAAATTGGTGTTCCAGTAAGTAAGAGTCACACATTGCCGCAGCATTACAACCTAAGACGTTCACAGCCAGGGAACAGAGAGGGGAAGCACCACACTTACTAAAAGTACAGCTATTGTGTGATTGATAAAATTATTCTTTCCTTTCATTTCTGACCCATGTGAAGTATAGATCATCCAGAAAAAGTGTGGTGGAATTACGCTCCAGAATCACCATGGCGCCAACTGGTGCACTTGTACTCACTCCTCCATGAGTCCAGAGGGACGTCATGCACCGGCCAGCTCTTGATTCTCTCTTACAATCAAGTATTGTGTTTAGGTGTTACTTATTACCCAAAGTGACCATCACAAGGAGTTCCTGCCGTCGCGTGAGACAGAGAACGTAAAACTGATGCCGCACACTTGGTTCACCCGGAGCCTCGAGTTACCTTTCACTGATGCTATAGCACAAGACGGTTCAACACTGCAGTTTGTACTGTACACGGGTCTCTAAATGGTAACTGTTTGTGATAATTAAATAACATTTTGTTAACAATGACATCCTGTTCTGGTCCGCGCTTGCTAAATTTCTCTCTACTTTCTCTTCTGTTAAAGTCTCAATAATACAACAATGCAGATCGAGAAACTCACTTACAGGCGTATAAGTGAAAAACTCGGTAAAAAAACATCATCAGGAAACTGAGACAAATGACAAGCTTGTGGTGCCAACTACGGGCGTGGCGACGTCTAGCTTATACACGGTTACTCTTCGTAGGATCAACACAGATAAACATGTTTACGAGCTCAGTTATTATGACGTTTATGAATTTTGCTCAAACCAAAAAACTTCAAATATGACCTCTGTGTTAGTTAAGAGAAGAAAAATACATAAATGTCAGCCTTTTCCTTTTTACTTATTGGTGATGTGAAAAAACAAATTCACATAAGGTTTACCTGGAGGGCGTGTCGCGCACCTAACATTATACCCCACAGTTCACACAGGGTCGACTCGAGAGATACTTGCGATATACGAAGATTATTGAGTGTTACATCAGGAGTTGTAATTGAGGTGTAAGCCAGCGTGAGATAGGGCAAGCCAGGTACGAGAGGCTAGGCGTCATGGGCAGTCATTAACTTTCTCTGGTGCAGCAACAGCACGACCGTGCTGCACCACACTCACTCACCGACTTGGTCCACACTGCCACCTTAACACCCAGTCCCGATATCTTTAATGGAAATAGTTTATTAGCCCCTTGTGTACGGGGGCCTCTTTGTGCTGAATAAAATCGTCTGAAGTTAGCCAAATAAAGTAATAAAAGTGACGTCCCATAGTAAAGGTGTTGAGACAGGTAACCAGCGTGAAGAAAAATGCCAAAAGTAGCCTGGCCTTTCTCGTTATTCTTGACCAGATTTCTATCACGCGGAAAAATCAAATCACAGCTCCATCTAACTTAACGTAACGTAACCTAACCTGCATTATCTTAGGTTGCGGTAGTTTTTTTTCTACAGAATGCCGAAAAAAAACTCGCTATCCGCCGCACATCACATAAGAACATAAGAAAATAAGGAGTCTGCAATAGGCCGGTTGGCCTGTGCATGGCAGCTCCTGTCGAGAGTTACTACCACTCTCTATCATCCATGAATCTATCTAGCCTCCTTTTGAAACTTTCCAGAGTTCCAGCACTTACTACAAAGTTGCTAAGCTTGTTCCACTCGTCCACCACCCTATTTGTGAACCAGTTTCTTCCTATCTCCCTCCTAAACCTAAACTTATCCAATTTAAATCCGTTGCTCCGAGTCCTATCCTGCTCGGATATTATAAGAACTTTATCTATATCCCCTTTAATGATTCCTTTCACCCACTTAAATATTTCTATCATATCTCCCCGCACTCTTCGTCTTTCTAGGGAATGCAAGTTAAGTTTCTTTAACCTATCCTGATATGTAAGGTTTCTAAGTCCCGGAATCATTTTCGTCATTCTTCGCTGCACCGACTCTAGTGAATTGATATCCATTCTATAATAAGGGCACCAGAACTGAACCGCATAATCGAGGTGCGGCCTGACTAGCGCAAGATATAGTTGCAATAAGACCTCTGCACTCTTATTACTTACACTTCTAGATATAAAACCCAATACTCTGTTTGCCTTATTTCGAACATTAACGCACTGTTTTCTAGGCCGTAGGTCCGGGCTTACAAGTACTCCTAGGTCTCTTTCACAAGTCGACTTCTCTAGGTTGATGTTGTTAAGGCTGTATACATTGTCAGTATTTGTTCTTCCAATATTAAGTACGCTACACTTGCTGGTGTTGAATTTCATTTGCCATTTAGATCCTCCTCTTATGCATTTGCATCCTTCCCTGAATTAATCTGCCGCCCTATTTTGGTGTCATCCGCAAACTTGCTTATGTCACTGCTGATCCCAGTATCTAGATCGTTTATGTAGATTATGAACAAGAGTGAGCCTAGTGCTGACCCCTGGGGAACCCCCACTGGTTACACGGCCCCACTCAGATTTAACATCATCTACGCTGACCCTCTGCGTTCTATCGGTGAGCCATGATTTTATCCAATTTAAAACTTTCCCCTCGATACCATGAGCCTTAATTTTTCTCAGAAGCCTCTGATGCGGTACTCTGTCAAATGCTTTGCTAAAGTCTAAGTAAATAACATCGTAATTTTCGTCATTATCTACTACCTCGAAGACTTTCCTAAAAAACGTCAGCAGATTTGTTAGACTAGATTTTCCCTTTGTAAACCCATGTTGAGAGTCGTAGATTAATTTGCTTTTCTCTAGATGCGATCGGATGCTATCTGCTATAATTGATTCAAGAAATTTCCCCACTACTGACGTCAAACTGATCGGCCGGTAATTTGACGCTGATGCTCTGTCTCCCTTGTGAAAATGGGTACTACATTTGCCTGTTTCCACAAGTTTGGCACAACTCCGGTGTCTAGTGATTTTGTAAATAAATTTACAAGGGGTCCGCTAATCTGTTCTCTACACTCTTTCAAGACTCGAGGGATGACACCTGGCAATAGTGGTTCTTTGGTAGGTGTGGGTCTCCTGGTATAAGACACTGGGTCCTCAGAGGACTTAGGAGTACATTAGGGTGACAACAAAGGACACCGTGATTAAATAATTAAAGATTAACCGTAAACTGAATACTGTGAATAATTTGTAAGATTATTACTGAGACTTTCAACTTAAAATTAAGACGAGAGGAGAAAAGATTACCGCAGTAAGCTATTCACAATAAAAATCTACTTTTTGGTGAAATCAAGAATTTTGAAAATTGTAATGTGTGGTTATGGTGGGGGAAGGAGCCTGACTGTGGCAGCGAAGGGTAACAACGCCACGCCACTTTACCAAAAAAGTGAAAGCTAATGTGCTGATACGTTGAGTAATGCCATTACTGTAAAATGTGGACAATTTATTTTACGTTGTTTTCTGACAACAGCTTGAATTGGCTAGTGAAGTGAGCGAGGAAGAGTGACGAGGGCCGTGCAATTCCCCCAAGATATAAAAGTTGTCTCGCACAAAATATTTTTAAGGGAATTAAAGTGACTCTGTAACAGTCTCGAAATACAGGCCCAAACAGCACGATATGAAAAGAAGTGGATTAATTTCCCCAATTTGTCAACCGCGTTTAATGGAGCTTCTTGCTAGACAGTGGATTGCGACGCGCGCGCGTACGGGCGTGTGTGTTTTTATTAGATTTATCCCTGAGGGCAGAGGGCAACCAGTGAGGTCGCCTCCACCCCTCACTTTGCGGTCGCTTCTCCCTCCATCTCCGCTTTCATTTTTGTTCACCTTTATTTTTTCTGTCATCTCTTATAGACTGCTCCATTTCTTGCCTCCCTCTACTTAGCTAACTGAACATATATTGTTAGCATTCAACTTGTCAGTGTTATCAGATCAAGGAAACCCCACCAATAAATAGAAGTCGTAACAGAATATAATGTTTCGTCTTTGTAAACGCTGCTTAACATTATTTTTACTCAATTGTTGTTGTTTTTTTGTCACGAAATAACACGTTTGGTTCATCAGGTTAAAACATGTGTTTGACAGTGTTTCCTGCTTCCCCCTGACAATATGTTTTGCCTCGGGCCCTACCGGTTTCCGGTGAATAAAACAATAAACTTAACTAAACAACAATATCCCAATAAACATGCTCTCAATTTAAATATTCTGTACCTGCAGCCATCTACACATCCACATAATATACAACACTTATTGGGTCAAACAATTAACGGTAGTAAAAAAAAATGACCTACCTACCTCATTTCTCTTATAGCTGACGCGGTCACACTTTTTTGGGGAGGGCCTTATTAAGACTTATTTTATTCCATAACACAGGTAATAAGTGACACCTTTAAAATTATGAATACGTATCATTACTGGTGAAAATAATTATGAATTAGCATGTGGTCCACTAACATCTAAAGAGACACGCGGCTAAAGGGCACTACACCGCCTGTAATGATCATGTCTTCTTCATAATGTACGTGATAGTCGCTGCCAAGGCCCTCTTGGCATCAAGCGTTCTCTGAAGCTTTGGGAAAAAACTAAGCTTTCTACTTGAGTGTTCTCTGGGTATGAGCGAGGGAACACCGCTCTCTACATCTAACTGGCACTAGTCCAGTCACCACCCAGTCATTCTCCCTGCCACCTCACCCGTCCTCCAGTAGCTGACGCCCCCTCACCCACTACGCCACACCCGTCCTCCAGTACACTAGAGGTGCCACCATTTTATCGGTACCTCCTTCCCTCTTTCCCCTCCGGCATGTCACTTGCCGACCCTTTTGTGTAACAGAATCATCATTGCGACCTTTAAATTCTGTCACTCCGGCAAAACAAAACTTTTTACGGTTGAGTCATCATAAACATGGCAAGTGATGCAGGCGAGAGGGAAACTCCTGGACCATCACGTTTGGCTGGAGCTTTCGCTTCCTTGTCTTGACAGTGTTGGTTCGGCCGCTGTTAATAGTTAAATACTACTTACAACTTATCTGAATTTTAAGCTTGTGAGGTGTTGTCTACAAGACTGTTTTATAAGGATACTAGTGTATGATCTGTGTGTACAAAATGCAGTAACATGTAACCATGATAATTTTTAAAGCGCATTAAGACGAAAATGCTAACTATGTGGTGATTGGTGAAATAGTGAGTGGCGTTAGAGTGAAGGGTGACTACCTTTCACACCGGGAGAGGAAGTGGCTATAAAGGTTTATTGGGCTAATGAAATATATATATATATATATATATATATATATATATATATATATATATATATATATATATATATATATATATATATATATATATATATATATATACATATATATACATATATATATATATATATATATATATATATATATATATATATATATATATATATATATATATATATATATAGTGAGGGTAAGGTGGTTGTACCACAACGAAAGTAAAGCTTATCTCTCATAAAGCAGTTAATGGTTTGCTTTATTCATGAAATATTTATCCAGGACGTAAATTTTAACATGTTCTCATTCTATTCCAGGCCGAGGACAGGCGCCTAAAAACCAGAAGTAGAGGGAGGTGTGACGGCGTGTGTAAAAGCTACAGTGAGTAGAATGACGGCCGAGTCGTCTTCGATAATGCTGATACCACTGTGGGCTACACCTCAACACTGTAGTTACCACTACACTAGGCTGTGGGCTACACCTCAACACTGTAACTACCACTACACTAGGCTGTGGGCTACACCTCAACACTATAGCTACCACAACACTGTAGTTACCACTACACTAGGCTGTGGGCTACACCTCAACACTATAGCTACCACTACACTAGGCTGTGGGCTACACCTCAACACTATAGCTACCTCAACACTGTAGTTACCACTACACTAGGCTGTGGGCTACACCTCAACACTGTAGCTACCACTACACTAGGCTGTGGGCTACACCTCAACACTGTAGCTACCACTACACTAGGCTGTGGACTACTCCCCTCCCTTACTACAATTCATCACTCACCACAACTGAAATAAAATTTTCAGTGGATTTTCAGAGAAAGCTGGCGCTTCCAAGAACTGCTTCCCTGAGCTAAAATAGTACAAGACGTCAAAGCTAGTTTTCATGTGCATAGGCCACCAGCTAAATGGCAAATACAGTACAGTGTACTGAACTCCTTTTTGTTACATAGGATAATTTTTCCTTTTTGTAAAACTATGTATTCTATGTGCAAAAATGAAAAAAAATGGACTGAAAACAACTGAAGAGCAATAACGTGACTGCTGTTCTTTAACCTCCAGCAGCCAGAGAACATTTAGAAAGGAGGATTGTGGTCGCCAACCCTCAGATATGAGGACGGTAGATTGACCAGCATAAAACGTCTATCATAAAAATAGTCTGGGTTCTAAGAACGAATCGCAGTATACGTTTAAGTGTCCTCACATTTTAGAAACACAAGTGGTGTGTTTGTTTACGCAAAAATAATGAAGGTATCATAGCACGAATGCATGCCTTCGTTTCGATAATTTTTCTTTTCTTTCCACATCTTAATAATTCTTGATGATTTATCGACTTTGCTTTAACGCTTTCGACCTTCAAAACAAATTTAGCCCCAAGAGTGGTATTTACAGGTATATGCCGATTTACAATGGCGAAAGGTCCCCTTCACTACGAGGATGCCACTTTCAATATTTTATTTGGTTAACGCCAGACTATTTTATTCAGCACAGAGGGGACCCCGTACATAAATGGTTAATGATATTACCCGTATGAGACGCAGGAAAATGTCAGTTGGCACAAAAGGCATTGAATAGACACAGATTACATTTTTGGTGCAGAAGTAAAAAAATAAAATAAAATAATACATTAACGTGAGTAGAATGTCATACTTAAAACCCAGGGAAGTGAAAGACAAGCGATATGTTTGGTATATATACAGTATATGTAAGAGTTTGCCGGATATATTAGCCACTTTCGACGCGGTCTCCTAATTCCGGTGACAGGAACTTTTAAAAACCAGGGTCCTGTCATTGCATTTACTTTACTGTAATGGGGATTAGAAGAATGTAAAATATATGAATCAAATATATGAATCAATAATTAAACTGGGATAATTTTTTATGATCAATATATAATGAACTCTAATTTTTATGGTCGTACAGTTTTAACCAAAGTCTAAGTGAACCAAGTCTACCCACGTGGGCGCAGCTCGATGTCTTGGCCGAGGTAGATATTCTTGCCATATTTCCTGATTCTCTCATTCCCTGGCACACTATCTTTCAGTTAGCCACTTGAACTTCTCATGTAATCATTATTTTTATGATATTCCTATTCTTATTATTAAAAATTTAGTATTATTAATATTAACAATCCTCTTCTTTCTCTCTTTATTATTATTTATACTCTTATGATTTTGCCGCCAGTAACCAGTGTATAAGCAATTAAGTACATGGGCTAGCTATTTACTGGGCAGAAGGAATACAAGAATTAAATTAAATATTTAAAGAAAATAATAATATAAATTTTTAATTATTATTATCATCACTCTCTCTTCCCAAGCTATTACAGTAAATCAGTGAACACAGATATATACAGTATGTGTATAGGTTTTCAATTTATCAATATGGCCACTAGATATATTAGAGATGGCTAGGCTATACAGCAGTTTCAAGCAACAAATAGGTACTCTCAAGTATTGCCCTTCCTCCTGTTGCACCCTATATATTTGCTGTATGCACAATAAAATCCACCTTTTTTTTCATCGTTTGGAAATCGATGAACTCTCAAGCTTTTATCATGTAGTCTGCAATTTGATATCCATCCAAGTACGGCGCATTTACCAGGCATTGTCATAGACTTTCGCACCACGACGGCCAGCTGGTAACTGAGGCATTTACTGAGCTCCCACCCAAGCCAGATGTCATGAGCGGACGAATTTTCGACTCGAAGTGGGTTGACTGGTATAATTCGACTTTGGTTTTAACAATTAATTGTGCCGTAACATGCACGACCTACTTTCTGTTGAAGAAACTAACGAGTGGTGCTCATACCTGAACAGCTTGTGGGACTGTCAACCGAAGCGGACGTGTGGTGGGTGGTACGCCGACCTCCGCGGGCAAGTACCCGTGGCTAGTGTCCCTCTTCTACCGTGGCAAGCTTTACTGCGGCGCCACTCTCATCAACAATCGCTACCTCATCACCGCCGCTCACTGCGTCAAGCGGTCAGTCTCCCTTAATCTTCGTCTAAACTGTTTTTACTCATTATGACTCACTATTGTTTTACTGTGTGATACTGGATTCAACTTCACCTAATGTAGTTTATCGGTTTAAAATGAAAGCAATCGACTTTCTCGGTGTTCCCCAGGGTGAATCTCAACAATGTAAAGATCGTGCTGGGCAGCTACAACAAGACCGATGTGCATGAACCATCGAGACAGGTCCGTAAGGTAGGCACTTGGTGGGCTCACCAACTCTTTGACCGTCGCTCCTACAACAACGATATCGGCATCATCATGCTGAATGAAGAGGTCGAAATCACCAAACACGTCAGGCCCGTGTGTCTACCCGTCTCAGGTGAGTTGTTCCAATTTGAATAAGTAAGTCTTTTTACTCACTAATATTGTACATTTCTTACCGAAAGACATTAACCCCTAGTTGGGGAACTCGCACACAACGTGATAATTAAAGAAAGAATATTCATCTATCTTTATCCCCTTGTACTATTACGTCCGAGGTATATTTAGTTACCACCTACGACTCGCACCACAGGTGATGGGAACTACACGGGTCTGACAGGCATCGTCCCAGGATGGGGGAGATTGTCAGAGAACGGTTACCCCAGCGAAGTGGTGCATGAGGTGAAGGTGCCAATCATCAGCAACGAAGAGTGTAAAAAGAAGAAATACAGACCAAGTGAGATCACCGACAACATGATGTGCGCTGGCTACGACGAGGGCAAAATCGACGCCTGTCAGGTAATGACGTCATTCAGTAAAGGGCTAATATACACCAGTCAAGGCTTGGGATTCTGTGCTACCTACAGTATACAGCCCTAAATATATTTCACAAATATCGATTATTACTTCTGGTGCATCATTTATAAGTGAAAGTCATCATTCATTGCTAGTCTACTAGTATAACAGTACACGTGTATAAATACAGTACGGTATTATGATTACGACACACACACATATATATTCTTGTAACTGGCAACATAATATTACAGGGTGATAGCGGCGGTCCTCTTCTCCTTGATACCGGCAAGAATATTGAAATCATCGGTAAGTAAAAGTTACCCCAGCACCTTGTGGCACGTCACATTGCTCCGCTGCAGAATATGACGAGTTGACGTACCCAAAATAAACTAAGCACATGGTATTATTAAACAGTCACTTTGCCACACATGAGAAGCATGACTACACTTGAACTTGCTCTGTCTCCTCCTCGACGTTATGACCATTTTTTTTAACTTCTTCCTTTCAATTAACATTAGGCAACTTTCTTCTTGACCATTCAGTTGATGACACATTTCTTAGAAGGTATATAAGTCTGATTCTGATTTCACTAATTCTGTTCTGAATTTAAAACGACTAAAATTATTTGGGTGAATATATTGAAAATTATTTAACTGTAAGCTAATCACAATATACTCAATATTACTAAAACTTCTCATGCTCAAAGTACTGTACTACGGTAGACTTGTGTGGTTAATATGGTGTGCCGGGATTCGACAGAAATTGGAGGAAGTGCCAGAATTTTGCCCTCCTCCACACAACCCAAGTTTACATTAGTGCACACACATTAATCCATCTGATCCTAGCGCCTTCTGACGACTTACCTCACTTCCTGAAGTGACATCAGTTTTTAGGATTCATTTTGTTTATTGATATGACCAAATATTGACAGAAATAACAAGTAAGTCTTTTCGGTCGGATAAATATTATTAGCATGTAAAATCACATTTATCTCTAATACCACAAAATCATTTGGCCTTCTGGAAAAGGTCCCAGTACTTTTATATAAGAACTTCAAGTTGTCTATATAATGATTATATAGTATAGCGATCTAGGCTCATTTATCCACGGCACATAACCCTGTCATCATACCTAGCGTTCAGACCGGCTAATCACTAAGGACCGTATTAGTTTAGCTGGTTTTCTCCTCTCACTTCATCTGGAGATTCTCTGCCGTATTCCAGCTGTGTCACCTTGTGATGCTTCCTGTGTACATCATTATGTCCACCGAATCCCACCAACCATTTGCCTGAAGTTTAAACACATTCATATATCATCCATTCCACTCTACCCCACATCTAATTCTCAGTAATGTTCACTCTGCTGATCTACTACATTCACATGTACAACTTTATTAAAAAAAATCTGAAGAGGTAGATTTAATTCATTTAATGTCACCTGACAGACCAGAACATACATGGACCCATTTTCAGAAATAGGTAAATAAATATATCAAGTTAAATTGACACTAAGAAATAAACATGAAGACACCACAAAGCTTCTCAGCGCAGTAGGTGTTCGTGCTGTACTGATTGTGACCACTAAACCAATTTTGTTACAACCTTGCAGGTGTGGTGTCGTGGGGCCAGGGGTGTGCTCGTGCTAAGTACCCGGGTGTCTACACCCGCCTTGAAAAATACATGGATTTCGTCAACTCAAAAATTTATGATCAAGGCTGCTTCTGTCCTCCCCCTAATTAAAACCTGGTCATCATGAAGCTTCTCTAACTTAATTTATTTATCGGTTTTCATCACGTGAAAACAGCCCTACTTTGTAGCTAATGTTTATATTATTCAGTAGCTACATCGTTATATTTATTATCAGCACTAACAAGATGCTTAATGACGCAAGCATGACATCACAGGTGAGTCTTTGATACGTGTGTGGCCTCGGGTTACTGTGGCCATGAATTAGTATAATATATCATCCGTAATGTTCCCTGCACCTTTGTTATCACCTGTCCTCTACCATCATGTAATGTTTGATCCAGTTGTGAATTTTTATTATCTCCAATAATAACTCCTTCATGTACTTATAAATAATCATCGCTTCATTATTGTATAACAGTTTGACACATCTTACAAAGTAAATCACATTTTACTACTTGTCTTATGTTGTGCCGAGTCGTAGATGCAGAAACTGGATGTTACAGTACATCAATGAACACCACCACCGTCATGTAGTACAGTCCCTAACAAGGGCAACATTGTACGACGCATGTGATCAATACATTGCCAGTATGTTGTAAGCAACATTGTATTACTAAAAACTTTGCCAGTCCATACATACGTGTATTTAAATACGCGCACACATACACGCAAGTTCATTGTCGCCATTTTTTTTCTCTTTATCCGGTTCATCAATTGTGACACAAATATTATTCGAATGGATGCATGGTAAGACTGATCCCCGCTCACTGTCAATTTCCTTTCTATAATCTGTGGTTAAGGAACAAGTTACGTTTCTAGTTATTCCATATTCTAATCTCCAACTGTTAGGGAGATTGAAGTTATTATAAAAAAAATACGTTAACTTTATCACCCAGTTGCATATATTTCGGTAATAATTCATATATGACTACGATATCTAAAGATATAGAAATGTTTAAGAATGCGTATACAATTGTAGGGGCCTTTACTAAGGAGACTTAAGGAAGCACTACCAAAGAGAAGTAAAGGACTACTAGCGAGGAAAATATGAGTCTATATATACCTGCATGTCATCCCATTGAGTTATTATTTATGTGACCAAAGTGATGCCGTAGCACCACTGACGCCTATTACACATTCCAAAAGTGAGCTTTCTCTGGCATCCATTGTTCTTCCCTAGACCTTCATCGTATTTGATTCTTTTGTTCTCTATCTCCCATGGACCATTTAGTGCTGCGTTCACATTTAAAAGACCAAGGATCGAAAATGAGTTTTGGGCAGTGTCCGGTATAGGTCAGTGGACTACCCTACCGAGTCAGTGAACGTGGGATGCTCAAACAAGGCCAGTCTACCACTGCAGGGATATCCATTCTTGAGTATATTACCTGTCACTGGAAATTAATTAACCTAATATATTTAAATTGTCATTACATTAATCGACTGATCATAAAAACATAACGTAATGTGATTTCCAGTTTCGCATGCGAGTGTTGCCTTGTTGCGATGTATGTGATAATGTGTCTTATCTGTTATTGCTATTATTGTAATAAAAGTACAAATCTGTAATTCATCTTGGGCAAACAATAACATGACGACCCTAGCTTAGAAACCCGCTAGTTTAATTGTAAGTAAATGTACCAGGTACTTCTAATATACTATATACCATACGTATTTGAGCCTCCATCTTGTGCTGTCAGTTGACTTGTGTAATAAACGCATCACATTATAAACATTTGAGTTTTATTACATCATATTATAGGGGCGTGAAATGCAAAATATAAAGTTGTATAAAATGCAAGAGAAAGTAACTACAGATTGGAAACTAAAGACGTCTTCCACGCGGGACCGTGGATGATGGTCAATAATTCATCTGCTGTGACAGGGGCTAAGAACGCAAATATCAGTTAAGCCCAGAAAAAGAAAATGCGTCTTCTTATTTCTATTCCTTTGGATTTGTCTATTGTTAAAATTAATATGCAATGAACTACTGTCAGCTCTAGAAACAGATCTAGTTTGAGAATTAGTGGGAAGGGGAAAATGTGAAGAAGAGTGAAGAGTAGAATCATCAGCGTAAGAATGGATAGAATTAGTCGTAGTGTTAAGAATCATTGATAAAAAGAAGGAAGAGAGTAGGTGAAAGAACAGAACCCTGCGGGAAAACCACTATTGGTAGAGAAGTAGCGAGAGATCGATCCTCGACAACAACTGCCATGGATCGGTTCTCAAGGAAGCCAAAAATTATAGAACAAAGTTGGGGATAGAAACCATAAGAGGGAAGTTTAGAAAGCAAAGACTTGTGCCAAATGCTTTGGAGATGTCGAGGGCCACGACGAAAGTTTCCCCAAAACACCTAGTTTACAAAATTACAAGACTAAATTATGCCTCGGCATAATATTATTTTACCATCTACAATGGGATTCAACTACTGTGCAGCTATAAATTGTTCCAACACCAAAAGGAGCAGAAACCTGTCTTTCTTCAGATTTCCAAAGGATCCAGAGGTGTGTCGTGAACCTACTTTAGTCCGACAGCTAATGGGGTGTTTGTGTGCAAAAAAGGTACCCTAAATTTCTGTGGATTATAAAAATAACCATATTGAAAGGTCGTAAAAAAATGTAATTGGTCATGCAATAGCCTGTCAAATGTCTAGATATAGACACACCAACAGTCACACCGTGAAAAAAAAATGCACGTATTGTGGTCCATACAGTTCACTCGCACAGCTCTAACTTCTTTGTCTTTCAAAAAGTAGCCTCCAAAATTGCTCTGTATGTTGCCAATAAGTAGGAAAACAAGTGACTAACGTTTCATAAAAATCCCAAACCACCTAGTCAGTGATCATTATACAATACTTACTGAATACACTGTTGCATATATCAAGTGTGAATCCCATCCTCAGCTCAAAATTAGCATCCCAGATAATCTTAAATTGCACTTCAAGGCTTACATCCACAGATGGTATGCTGGATATACACCTGGGTCATTACCATATATTACACCACCTGGGTTAAGTCAAGGAGGAAGGAGAGCGGCACTAAACCACCTCTGTGGATACATGACCCTATCCTCTGCCAACACTTATAGTCAAAATAAAAGTAGTGATAACCTCCTGCCATTCCTCAAAGCTAACAGAGCATTTCGCGAACTCAAAAATCAGATGAGAAACACCTATTGGGAAGAGTTCTTGCAGGGTATTAACAGAACAACGACTCTAGCATAAGTGTGGAACAAAATTAGAGCCATTACCAAGTCACCCACCCCAGTTCAACTTCATCAAAGCCCCGCAGAATACGCTGAAATGTTATTAGACGAATGGTCTGGTGTGTCACAAGTCTGCCTCCTGACATAGAGCAGCAGGGTATTTAAAGGTGGCGGGAGACATATACATCCCCTCATATTCTGTTTCAGCATTATACCTATTATATTAGGAATGAGAATTCACACAATTATTATGGTGTATTTCATAAATTTGATTTTGTCTTGCCTTGAAAGAGGGACATGTAAGAATGCATACTCGATGTTACTATATCAAAGAGTTCTGATGAGGCTTCGAGAGGGAGAGCTAGGGCAAGGGGTGGAGTTACCCTCCTCCCCATCTCTCGTGCTCTGGCTCAATGAATTACGTGATTAAATATCTTAACAGTCAAATGGTTAATATATGATGAATCGCTATATTAATACTCAATTCAAGTAGCTAAACAACTCTTTCCCCACTGTAATTTTTTTATTAGAATAAGCATAGCCGGAGATGGTATATAAAACCAACACTAAATTCCCTTTTGTTACCGTACAGACCTTACGTTTTTTGCTAATTTATTTTATTTATTTATGGCTTGGGTTGCACTATATTTAAACTGGGGTTTTATCGGCAGGAATATATGGCACAACTTCCCGAGGTCCAGTAAAAATAAGTATATATTAAATGCGTCCTCCGAAAGCGTAATGCACAAACTTATTGCTGACATTCCAGCTCAGCCGAATAAAGCTGTAATATGTTATGCTGAGATATCTGCATTATGGCACAGACCAATCCCAGGCTCCAAGCCTAACTGGATGTATTTGGTCGGAGGGCTGTGGAATGTGGTCTCATAATATCTGTTGAAAGAGGGTCCTCACCCTCTGCCTCTTAACTTTATCATTAACAGCATGCCCTTGGAACTATGTAGCTCTTATAAATATCTTAGAATTAATGTGAATTATGCGAACTTCGTCGGCAACCGTCGTACCAAACTATTGCATCGCATTAAACCTATCAGAACCCTTGTTGGTAAGAGTAACAACAAGTAACAACATCTATGCTCGTAATTTTTATCTTCACTTCATTTAATCAGAAGTTGACTATCATGCTTTCCATCAAGTAACTATTCGCTTTAAATAACCAAACAGCCTGGAGGTAGTACAAAATGAAGCCATGCGCATCATTCTCGGATGCCCAAAATCTACCAGTAAACATGAGGAAAGAGTCCGGGCTGCCCTCTCTATCTGAGAGGATAGTTCTACCTAATACCATGTTTTGTGTCAAACTTTTGAAGAACATGTAAAGACTGAACAACTGGGCCAGCACAACACAAACTGAACTAATGGGAATCTACTTAGCCACAGACTACCTTAAATCAAATGGAGGTGGGGTGATATTCTGTAACTCTCAAAGTGCTTTGAAATCAATGAACAGACCGTCAGGCTTTATGTCTAAAGTTGTCTGTGATATTAAAAGAAGTGTTATAACTGTTAAGGAGAACAACTTCCGTATTGAATTTGTGTGGATTCCGTCCCATGTTGGAATTAGGAATCATGACTGTGCTGACAGACTGGCCAATGAGGCATGTAAGAAAGAAAATGTAGACCTCCCTTGACCCTTATATCTTGAGCGGCAGGGCGATGTGACGCCACCATTTTTACGTAAATTATTTCCTAGCTTATAAAGCACTGAGAGACGGCTTACTACTGTCGTGTGATAAATTTTCATCATGTTTACCCCTCAATTTCCCTCTTCCATGCCCTGCCCACTATTGGAGATCATGGGGTAGAGAAAAACGAAAAAAATAAATAAAATAAAAATACTTAAAATAGGAAAAAGTTGTCGTTTCGTTTTTATTACGTAATATCGTCCAAACAACATATCTGGAAAAAATGAACGAGCTCTAAAAAAAACTTTCTCGTGATAACTGATAATCATCTCCACTTCTACCAAAATAAGTTTTTTTCTTGTGCAATTGGCGATTTAAAAATTACCTTCATTTCTGGTGGAAATGAATAGTTATGGAGATATGATCCAACCCCACTACCGACTACGGTATTTGGATTGTACAGAGTGGGCAGGGCTTTGAAGTCGGGGGAATTGTGGGATAAAATTCATGTAAAAAAAAAAACCTAATCAAACCTAAGGAAACCTGAACTAACTTGAACTTACCTTTGTCTTGGTGATTTTGTTTTTATCAAAAGCAAAGGTGTTTACTTCACGATAATAGCAGCCTGCACCACACCTTGAGTAAGCCAAACACCAGGAGCCTTGAAAATGCCAACAGATGCGTATTGTCCAAAACACGTTGAACAGTTTCCCACTTATAGACGCAGAACACACTTAACACGACGAAAACATAACGAGACTGAAAATTTCCGATCATTTTCATTCCAAATACTTGCGCATGAGCACATCGTTCACGTGACAGTGACGTACCCTCATTGGCCAAATGTGATCACGTGAGGTTCACGTTGAGAAGTAAACATTAAATACCGCAAAATTTACTCCAATGAACTGAAGTCAATGACATACAATTGTCATTACTTCACAAATCAAAGTAACTGCCAAAAATGCAATAAATTGAAGTATTCTTATTTTGGTAAAGATTCGTTTTCGGACCAACACGGAAACTACAAAAAAAAAGGAGGTTTTCTGTGTGTTTAAAAGGAACCAGACTTTCATTTACGTCGCAAATGAGCCATGGTTGTTTAAAGTGGGCAGGGCTTTGAAGTAGTGGGAAATTGTGGGGTAAAATACTAAAAAGAGCACCAAACAAACCTTTGAAAACCTTACCTAGCGTTTCTTAACCTATAAAAACCCTACCTTACTCGTGTTTTTGGTGTTGAGTATGTGATGGTGGTGTTTTCAGCGTTCAGATGTGGAGGGGACCCATAAACCCGAAAGCAATTCTTGACCGTATTACAAGTTAAGAAAAGTTAGTTGAGGTTTTCAACGGTTTGTTTGGGGGTTCTTTTAAGCATTTTACCCCACATTTTCCCTCTACTTTAAAGCGTTGCCTACTATGAAGAACCAATAATGTTGGTAATTTATGCATCGTTGAGGCTATAAGAATATGCAAGCTTTTCCTTCTGGTAGATATATCATCCTTGTTACTGACCAACAATCTGTGTGTGGCCTTGGTGTTCGGTTCTAAAATGCTTGGTAAAATAAAGAACAAGAAAACATAACAATGGAGTAGTGAGCTTGGCTGTTACAGGATGAGAGACAGCGGATGTTAATGAAATGTATTTTGGGTTCATGTCAGGCAGGGGGACTACAGAAGGGGGTATTTATGGCCTGGTAACTTAAAGACAAATACCTATGGAAAGAGAGTCAGTTTTACTGTGTATTTGCAGACTTAGAGAAGGCACTTGACACGAGGCAGTGCAGTGGGCAATGAGAAAGTTAAAGGTGATAGCACTGGGTAGAGGAAAATTTAAAAAAATGGAAGGATGGAATGGAATCAAAGGCTAAGAGAGTATGTACTGTAC